GTGGAGCAGGATGAAAAGGGTGTTTGGCAAACTGTCCTGGCCATGTTGGTGCCCCCTATGCAGAAAGACCAGGAGGCCACAGGGTGGGGGGATGGCACAGAGATTAACCTGGGAGGAGGAGAGAGCCCAGGAGCCACGTAGTTATGCTAAGACAGGAACACTCAGTGGCCTCTAATATCAGTTATCCCTTTGGTGTTTTCAAGGGAAGGAGGAATTGTAAACTTTGCTTGCAGATGCAGAGGGAAGCTCAGAGAGGCCAGAGTTTATCCCAGAGTCTCTGAGGTAGTAAGCGAGAGAGCCGGGGCTAGAGCCCAGTTCTCCTGCCTCCTCATATAGTGCTCCCCTATTGCCCTGAGTGGCCTTTGTGAGCTGTACAAAGCCTCCCACCTGCTCCTGTCTTCTCCCCTGCCTAGCTTTCTGCTTAGCCCAGCCCCAGGTGGGTCAGGCTCTGGGCACGGGCTGGAGGCTGCTTGGCAGTGTTGCTGACTCACCCAGCCCCCACAGCACCTGTCCTACGTGAGTACAGATCCTGCTGGGGTCCAGGCGTGGGCTTATCCTCATCTCTTCTTACCTGGCATGAGGTCTGGGCCAAGGAAGGACTGCACAGGGAGTTGGTGGAGGGGCTCCCGTCCATCTGGGAGGTATATATAGCTCTGAGCTCAGTCCCAGTGTGTGGGATGGACCCCAGGGAGGCAGAGGCAGAGGGCCAAGCTGCCAAGCTGATTCAAACATCTCACTGAGGCTGCTCTCCTCCGTCTTCTCATCTCCCTTCGGGGATCCTCCTGTGCCTGAGCCCCTGAGAGCCCTGGTCTTCCTTTTTTTTTTAAAAAAAAATATATATATTTCTTTATTGATTTCAGAGAGGAAGGGAGAGGGAGAGAGACAGAAACATCAATGATGAGAGAGAATCATTGATTGGCTGCCTCCTGCACGCCCGTACTGGGGATTGAGCCCACAACCTGGGCATGTGCCCTTGGCCAGAATCGAACCTGGGACCCTTCAGTCCGCAGGCCAGCGGAGAGCCCTGGTCTTTACACTCACCCACATCTAGAGGCCATCCGCTGGTTTCCAGGTGGCGGCCCAGTGGGGCACAGGGTGGGAGCTGAGAACAAGCAGCAGGAAGAAGGCTCGGCAGAAGGACAAACTGACTCTAGAGAGCTCAGACGAAGGTTCTAGACCTGCCAACTCTGAGGACAGGAGAAGGCCTGCTCTCAGCCCTGGTCCTGCGCGCCCAGAGAAGCACACTGACAATGGCCAGGCAGACATGTAGATGCCATGCACAGCCGCAGGACAGATTAACGCCTGTTATTTCTGAGCCCAGCCTCCCACACTTGTGGACCGGCTTCCAGGCCAGGGCTGCTAGCCCTCTCCTATTCACGGCTGCTTTCATTTTTGCCCTGTCACTGTGTAACCCTTGCCCTGGCACTGACACACGCTGGTCATTCTGACTGCCTTCAGCCAGGCCTTGGCCTCTGGCCCCATGGGCAGGTGTGGGGAGGTGAGCATGGGGCAACTTCTCTCCTCCATCTGCCCTCACACTCTGCCTTTCCCTCTCCAACAGCTCTGCCCTGGCCCTGCTGTCTTGCTTTCTCCCTCCTGCTTGCAAGAGCCTGTGGCTGGCTCTGTTTTCCTCTGCATTCCTTTTTGCCCCCCATGCCTCTTGCCCTCCTGGCGGTTGCTCTTAAATCTTTCTGCCTCTCTTCTCTCTCCATATGTCTCTCTGCTTCTCTTCTCCTTGCTTTCTCCTTTGTTTGACCAGGTGCCTGTGGCCTAGACTACCCATTCCTGTTAGCAGTCAGTCAGTTCTTAACACGTGCCCACCACTCTGAACCAGGCTTGGGCTGAAGTCTGTGGTCTAAACGATTTCATAGTTTAAGGGGAGAGGCAGGAGAAACATCTTTGGAAAGTAAATTAATGACACTTACATTGCACACAGCTATTAAACCAAAGGGAATTTTAATGGAAGGAAGTGGCACTTGAGCTGGTAGAGGAGGGAGGTGTGTGTTCAGACAGAAGGGAATGAGCATTGGCCCAGAGACGGGACTTTGCATGGTGATTCTGGGAGAGCTGGACAAAGCACTGTGATAACGGACTA